ATTGCTACAATATGTATGCAATCTTTGTGTGCTGTATGGGTATAACAGCAAAAAGGATGTTAGCTATATTTTATACTTAGATGCTAATAATCTATATGGGTATGCTCTTAGTCAACCTCTTTCTATAGGAGAATTTAAATATGAAGATGTAAATGATTTCACTCTTGAAACAATTAAGAGCTTACCCTATGATGGGGAATATGGTTATACATTTCTCGTTGATTTGGATATCCCATTGGAATTACATGATAAATTTAAAAATAGTCCAATGTTACCCGAACATTATGTACCTAGTTATGATGAATTATCCGAATATCAAAAAGAATTGATATCTGAAGGTATAGATAAAATACGTTATGAAGATAGACAAATGATAGATGATGATAAAGTGCTCGTGTATCGGAAACAGAAAGAAATAACATTAATAAACCTATATATAGTGGGTTTGTTGTTTTAGAATTATCAAAGTTATTGATGTAAGTTTATTTAATAAGTTTTATTATAGTTTTTTTAAGAAGATCTATGGTGATAAAGCTAAATTGTTAGAAACTGATACTGATTCATTTATTATTTATGTGGAAACAGATGATCTTTACATGGATATAAAAAACAACATACATTATTTTGATACGAGTGATTATAAAATCGATTGGATGCCACAAGTAAATAAAAAAGTAATCGGTTTATTCAAAGATGAATATCTCGGGATAGCTTTAAAAGAATGGATTGCGGTCTAAAATGTATGCTTTTAGATACGATGAAACTGAAACAAAGTTTTGTAAAAATACTAAAAAGTTTATAACAAAAATAAAAGAGAAAAAAGTATGTAAAGGAATAAAAAGATCAAATATAAAAAAAATGAAATTTGATATGTACAAAAACTGTTTGTTTGAAGGTAAAAGCACAACTGAAACTGTATACAATATTACATCAAAAGAGTTGAAACTTTACACTGTTAAAACAAATAAAATAGCATTATCAGCATACGATAATATTTATCATTTTTTGTTTTATCAATTCCCAAAAATCCATGTGGTTCTAACCAAGCTTTTTTACAAAACTCTTTATACGTTCATTCAGAAGCCAATTCTTCATGTATTTTTCTGAGATTATCCCAAACTCATTAAAAATAAACCACAGATTTGAATTTTTTCTAATTATAGGGTTTATTTTAGTGTATTTATGATATAATCCAAGAATACTAATATTTTTATGCCTTCCTTCACAATAATATCTTATTATTTTACTTTGATCTTTCAACATTCCATCATCAAAAATTACTAAACTATTTGATGCACATTCTTCTACCGGTAAAATTTTTTCCCAATTACCCTCAAATAAATAATCAATATCATATTTATCTTTTTCCAACTCTTTCTCTAATCCTACATAAGTAGGTTGGTCTATAGATGGACTATAAACATATAATTGCCTATATGGTAGCCATTTGTTTGCGACAAAGTTAGTAGATAAAAATGTTTTTCCACTACCCGATTCTCCTAAAATTATACCACGTACTACATCTGGAAAGAATCCGCCACCCCTTTTATATTTATCTATAAAAATAAAATGTTTCATTTTTAGATGATGTTTGGACATTTATTAATAATAAATGGAAGAGTATTTTAAAAAAACGAATGTTTATTTTTTTTATGCTTGCGCATTTATGTTTATCAAAAAAGTTATAAGTATCTTTTTAAATGTAAATTTGGTATATCATTGGCGCCAATTTTCAATCGTTATGATTTGGACCGCTCTGGAGACGTGCTGGGGATTTCGTCTCTCCGTGACAATCGGCACTGCATCCATTGAGCGAGATTCCAACATCGCTCTGGAGTCGTATGTACTGTGTTAAAGGGGCGTAAGATGTGAGATCTGAATAGCTCAGTGGTAAGAGCAGTTGCCCGGAAAGCGAAAGACTCGGGTTCGATTCCCGATTCAGCCACTTGTACCTCGCATATTTTTTCAGACCCGCAAATGTTGTTTTCTAACAATTATTTGTCGGGCTGAGGAAGTGTGTAAACGCCCTACACAGACACGACAGTGCCGACAGTGCCGAAGAGATGGATGCTTGGTTTGTGCCTCCTCCCGCCTTAAATCCCCCCCTCGCTTCACTCTGCGGTGTACAAGTGGCGCCAGTGGCGCCAAGGTAATCTGTCCACTAGATCCACCATGTGGTGACGGTGGAAGATCGTATTATTAATTGGGAGCAGAAGAGGGGGCTGCTTAGGCGTAGTGGTTTAGGATGGACTACTCAAGGAGGCTTCCATTCATACTGGTGGTGAGTCAAGACTCATCGCTGAGCGGCTACGGGCGCCAATTTTCAATCGTTATGATTTGGACCGCTCTGGAGACGTGCTGGGGATTTCGTCTCTCCGTGACAATCGGCACTGCATCCATTGAGCGGAAAGCGAAAGACTCGGGTTCGATTCCCGATTCAGCCACTTGTACCTCGCATATTTTTTCAGACCCGCAAATGTTGTTTTCTAACAATTATTTGTCGGGCTGAGGAAGTGTGTAAACGCCCTACACAGACACGACAGTGCCGCTGCCACGGAAGAGATGGATGCTTGGTTCGTGCCTCCTCCCGCCTTAAATCCCCCCCTCGCTTCACTCGTATAGTAAGTTTACGCTGTACTAATCCATTGTTTTTACAACGAAAGTCTGTTTACGACTTTTAAGCGTGGGCGAGAGGCAAAGCCTCTCCCCCTGCATCTCCACCCTCCCCCCGCAAAAAAAACTGACCAAATGCAAATCTAATTTTTATTCAAAAAATAGAAATTGGTTTGCGTTAGGTTAGAATTTTTCGGGGCGGGGATGCAGAGCCTCTCCTCCATGCATTCACTTTGCAATGATTGTAAACAAAACTTTTTCTAGTTAGAAAATGACAAATACATTAGTACGACGTACACAAACTTCATTCTTCCTATTATTTCATAATATATAAAGAAAAATATTAAGATGGTCAAATTTTAATTTGTTATATTTCCTAAACTAATGCCGTTCACCATTTGATTTTTGCGGAAAATTATTCAGAACAATCTCCCTTATATCATATCCAAGTGGCGATAAAATCGGTAAGATGTGATCTATTATGTATATTTACCAAATTTATATAATCAAATATAAATATAATAAAATATGTTTATATATCAGTTAAGCATGAGATACAATGGCAATGAGAGCACAGCGCATAAAAGTTTATTACAAACAAAATCTCAATTGTATCTCAATTGTATTAATACGACTACTGGATGCAAGATCAAAGATACCTCGTTTCTCGAGGCATTTGGAATAAAGTCGGAAAAATCTCCGAGCTTGAAACTATCGCGTGAGCATTTTTCATTAACGTATTTCATATATACACAAGGAATGTTATTATATCGAATAAATGAATTAAATATTTATAGATCGTAAGGAATCACACGATAATCAAATTATCAAAGGACATTCCACAACTGCGAGAGATGTTGTTTTACAAAGATGTTCGCAAAACTCTTACTTATCTTTCTCCTATTGCTTCCCAGATTCGTATGTAGATCCTTAGTACACGATTCCTTATACAGGCGTGTTTCTACAGTGTATCATTCTATATCTTATCATTCGATAATATCATTCTATTTCCACAGATACTTGGAATATTGCCGCAAAATTGGCGAAGGTGTTTACGGAGAAGTCTTTCTCTACGAATATTTTGATAAGAAGTCAGTTATAAAAATTATTCCTATAGAGGGCGAAAAGTTGGTCAACGGCGAGGCGCAGAAAAAGTTTAACGAAATACTGTCGGAAATTGTGATCGCAAAGTGAGTGGAGATGTGTATTTATCGATAAAAATTATCGAACAAAATAATTTGAAAAATGTTTACAGAGAATTGGATAATCTGAGATTAAATACTACGTATAAGACCAGCGGATTTGTCGAAGTACGAAGTATCAAATGTATCGTGGGAAAATATCCGAAGAGGCTTGTAGAGCTGTGGAACACTTATGACGACAACAAGACATCCGATAACGATTGTCCGTCGATGTTCGACGAAAATCAATTATACATTGCTCTCGAACTTGGTGACGGTGGAGAGGATCTCGAAGCTTTCGTCTTTCAAACCGCGGAGGAAGCCTGTGCTTTGTTTTTACAAGTCCGACAATATTACATCTGTAACTTCCCCCGATAATTATATTTAATCGTTAGTTATTCGCCCGTTCAAATCTTTTTTACAGACTGCATTTGCATTAGCCGTTGCCGAGAAGGCATTCGAATTTGAACATAGAGATTTGCATTGGGGTAATTTATTGATATCGAGAACGAAAGAACCGTACGTGTATTATAATCTTGACGAGAAAGAGATCAGGCTGCCAAGCAAAGGTGTAAAGGTAACATTTTATCGGGAAACATTGTTCTATATAATACTATCGATCCTCACAGTATAATCTTGTTTTCCCCTCAAGGTATCGATCATAGATTTCACCCTGTCGAGAATGTTGTATCAAGGATGCTGCATATATAACGATCTTGCATTGGATCCGGCCTTATTTACCGCACACGGCGAATATCAGTTTGAGATCTATCGTCTAATGCGTGAGAAAATTCAGTAAGTTCATATATACGTTCTCTCTTATTTAGCTATTTCTCCCCCAAAAAAGCGAGTAATTTATTTATCCTCGCTTTGGTTTTGCGTGCAGGAATAATTGGAATAAGTTTGAACCATACACGAATATCTTATGGTTGCATTATACTTTGGATAAGATGATTACATCGGTAAGATACAAAAGGAAGAACTTAAAAGTACATAAACACGCTATCCTCAGATTGAAGGAATTTAAGGACATAATTTTAAAATATGACAGTGTGTTCGATTTTGCAACTGATTCCAGCGTCGCGCATTTGTAATGCAAGCCGACGAGAAGAGATGTCTCGGTAACTTTGTACATCTTTAAAGATATTCTATGTGACACTTGGTCACATATGTGTACAAATCAATAACGTTAGTGCTGTTCAAGACTGAAAAAAATTACTGATAATCTTTCTTAAACTTTTACACTCTGCGCCTTGTAATAATTGTTTATAATTAAAATTGAATAACTTCGCGTTTTCCGTAGACTTTTTTACGCATATGATAATAATGACCGTTAACGAAAAAATTAAATAATTTTATATATGAAAAAAAATTCAATCTTTGAAATTCTTTAATTATTCTTTATTCAATATATGATCTCTATTCTCTATTTTATCGATACAACAATTGTTTATCTTCAATATCTAATAAAGTGACTTTACGTGAATTAATCTCGATATAAGTTCTGATTTTTTTTCTTTTTCCAATATGTATTTCCTCTGATTCTATAGAACATTTTCTCTTCGATTTTAAAATCAACTCATTTCTTAAATTTATTTCAATCCTCATATCATTTAAACGAAAACTATATCCTTGACAAAGTGCATTTACTTAATGTAATGATTAACTCTTATCTTTTCGTTTCTATATGTAATATGTCCATTCTAACGAAGTGATTTGTGAGCAACATATTGAAACAATATTGATTTTATAACTCTGTTATAAGGAATATAATAAACTAATGTTCAATTCATTGCCCAAGAAGAAACTATTAAATGGTAATAATTTATCTGCATGGTAATAATTTATCATTTTATTTTTATTCCTTAAATAAAAATGTATTTTACTTTACTTTACAAACTATATCTTTTACTTTGTTATTGCTTATTAAAATATAACTATTTTTTATGCATTAATATTGTTTCTCTATTATTAAGTATTCTCAGTGGTAAGAGCAGTTGTCCGGAAAGCGAAAGACTCGGGTTCGATTCCCGATTCAGCCACTTGTACCTCGCATATTTTTTCAGACCCGCAAGTGTTGTTTTCTAACAATTATTTGTCGGGCTGAGGAAGTGTGTAAACGCCCTACACAGACACGACAGTGCCGCTGCCACGGAAGAGATGGATGCTTGGTTTGTGCCTCCTCCCGCCTTAAATCCCCCCCTCGCTTCACTCTGCGGTGTACAAGTGGCGCCAAAAAATTGGTATATCACTTAGTAAATCAATATTTGTAGCATCAAGTTTATCAGGTATTGCTGTTACACCATTATTTACAATAAGTGCCATATCTGTTATAATTGAAATATTAGATAATGAATTCAAAACATCATTAAAATTAATGGATAGGCTTGAAGAATATAAATTATCATTTAACTTTTATTGTGAGTTATTACATTTATTTGAGGCTCGACAAATATCTGAAGAAGAAATTCACTCACGTGAAAAAGATTTTATTAAAAATTTGAAATACTTTCCACGTGAAAAGTACTTAAAACAAATGAAGATAAATGGTTATTCTTCAATGAATGACCGTTAGTAAAAACGATATTATTGATGAATTACACAAACCGGCAAGGAGAAATTATCCAAGAAGATCTACTATTACATTAGGAGTCGATGATCTTTGGCAGGCTGATCTTGTTGAAATGGATTCGGGTAACTTAAAGGGAATTTCTAAAATTAATAAGGGATATAAATATTTATTAACAGTTATTGATACTTTTTCCAAATTTGCTTGGGCAATTCCTGTTAAAAATAAAACTGGAGAAAGCGTATCAAAGGCAATGAGTATTTGTTTTAAAAACCTATCTCAAGAGTTTGATCTGAACTCACAGCATAAACCACCAAAAAATCTACAAACGGATAATGGGAAAGAATTTTATAATGAAGATTTTAAAAAACTCATGAAACAAAATGAAATTAATTATTATTCAACGTATAGTGATAAAAAAGCTGCAATTGTTGAAAGATTTAATAGATCACTCAAAGAATTAATGTGGAAACAATTCAGTATTCAAAGTAATTACAAGTGGGTTGATATATTACCAAACTTGTTGAATATTTATAACAATAGAAAGCATAGAACTATAGGAATGAAAATAAAGTTTATGTTAAATGGTTAGGCTTTGATAATACACATAACCAATGGATAAATAAGAAGGATCAAATCACTTCGTAAACGTCCTTCGTACTTAGCGTCCCTTGGACTAAGCACCCTTGGACTAAGCACCCTTGGACTAAGCACCCTTGCTTTCGAGTGGTTGACCCGAATTAAAAAAGAATGTTTCCAGTATGGAAAAAATATTAATTGAAAGAAAAAAATATATCTTAAGCAGGTTTACAAGTAAATTAACACTGTGCCAGTGACCTGCTAGGACATTGCCGAAGGACACAAAAACCTCTGTGAGGAAAATCACCTGACGGTATGTGCTCGCCAGCGCTGTTTTTTTTTTTTTTTTTGAGTACATACCGTCAGGTGATTTTTTTCTTTTTAGTTCTATTTAACTTTAATTCATTGCTTGATTCAAAGTTTAACACTCTTATAGGGGCCCCTGAGGTATACAATCTTTTCTAATTCATATCTACTTTCCTAGATGTGACAGAGAGAATTGTATAACTCTTGTCGAATGCTTCACATTCAAGAACCGAAGGTTTGTCGAAGAATCGGAGGTTTGCCTATTCCTATTCCTGGCACTTTTAACAATAATGGAAACGTAAATCTGCATAATATGCATTATTGGGCCGAGCAGAATCCACATTGGATGAGGGAAGTTGATAACCAACATGTATGGAGTCTGAATACATGGTGCGGTATTTTGGGTAACAAAATCATTGGTCCTCATTTCTTCGAAAGGAGATTAAATGGAGAAGTTTATGAGGACTTCCTATTGAATATCCTTCCACAGTTCCTGGAGGACGTGCCTTTAAACGTGAGAATAAACATGTGGTTCCAGCAAGATGGCAGCCCAGCCCATTATGCCAGAAGAGCTAGAGTGATTCTTAACCGAACGTTTCTTAACCGATGGATCGGGAGAAATGGGCCAGTAAGTTGGCCACCAAGATCCCCAGATCTCACAGTCTTGGATTTTTACTTTTGGGGCCGAATCAAAGAATTGGTTTATGCTTCAAAACCAACAACCCGGGATGACATGAAGGAAAGAATTAAAGAAGCATGCAGGAAAATCCAAGAAGAATTGCTGGATGCCTTGTCTTCATTTCCAAGGCGAATTCGAAAATGTTTGGAAGTCAATGGGAGGCAATTTTAACATTTGTGAATTATATAAATTATTTGCATTCTTCTTTCAATTTCTTTAACACATTATTTTCTTTATCGTGTTCAACAACGCAGAAGCTATTGGTGATGACGGCGTTAGAAGACAGTCAGAAGTGTTTCAAAGGGGCAGCGCTAGAAAATACACCTAGAGTTTGAAGTTTTTATTTCTGCTGACACACACACACACACACATATACAGTAAAGAAGGTTTGGAGTTTTTAAATACTACGGGAGTGACGATCCGTGGGATCCTTATTTTTACTGACACACTCACACACACCGACACACCCACACCCACACATACATACACACACAAACACACAAAGAGGTATAAATCCGACCGTGCAACCTCCACGCGGTACACCTTGGTAATGCTAATGCCGGCGGTATCATAACATTTAAGCTTCTGTCATTCAAAAAATACTTAATGAAAAATAACTTAATTATAGTGTTTTGGAAAGGTCTTGAGATAAGCTACAAGAATATGTAATGAAAAATAGGGGTTCCATTTAAAAAATTCAAAGTGATTTTTATGTGACCTTGACGGTGCTATTCAAGGTCTGACTAATATTATTATACAATGCGCCGTTTAGAGTTCTACAACTTTTGCATGAAACATTTTTCACGAAAATGTGTTGTTTCTTCAAAAAACTGCTGATACGGTCGCTCTGAAACATCCCGTATATACACATATTTTTATTGTTCCTACGATACACACCCCAGATAGCACAAGGGTGTTCTTAGGACATCCAGGGGGCATTCAGGACATACATGTAGGATATCCTGAGGACATTGCATTTTAATCCTCGGATCTCCTATGGACGTCCTGAGGAAGAGTAAATGATAGCCGAATATTAGCCTTTGGAGAATCCAGGGAGATCCTGTGGAACATCCTAAGGATTTCTATAGGATATGTTAGGGATATTTTTTGTACGTTTCAAGGAGCAAATTCAGAAATTGAAACATAAATTAAGATTGCGTTCTGTTGTTTACTGCCAATACTAAAAATCTAATACTGAAAATAGTTCACGTTCTTTGATATTTGAAGCTTTCATGATTATTAGCCTTCCGGGTTTGAGCCGTGTAATATTTTCTAAACAATCCAATATCTGAATTCCCTATGTTGAGATTGTATCAGAAATTGAACTGATAGAAAATAATTACATTTTTAATTTCTTGACAGTTGCTCTTTGCAAGTTTTATATAAGTCTTATGACCAAATTTCAAATTCGAGATCGCGCGTTTCATATCGGTGAACAAACAAACTAGCGGCTGAATACTATTTTTTGTAATGTTTTTGGAATGTTGCGCACAGTAGCATTTCTTATGAAATATTAAATAAATAATAATTTTGGATATATGAAAAATGTGCGCATTAAATTCAGTTATTAATATTAAATAAAATTAATGTTAACAATTAATTGCACATGTATATGTCCTCTGGAAATCCAAGGGAAATCTAATAATACACGGCAGATATCCCCTACAGACATCCAGGGTTTATCCAGTGGACGAAGATTAGGATTTTTGCAATACCTTTCCTAAATAGTGCTTTAACATTTTGTAATTGACATCTCGAAACATATTTCACATTTTCTAAAACTACATCGTAGGCTTCTGTTTTGATCAACGCACAGAAATGCCAAATTATTATGAACTTTTATACGATCCTCTAATAAAATCTACAATTCAGCATTACTAACCGACTCTTCTTCCTCATTTTGATATAACAAAAAGCAGTAATATCACTCTAAAAAAAACCTCACAAAGGTAAAAAGAATACGCCAAGTATATAAAAAAATCCTAATTTGTATGCAACAAAAAGTTTAATATTTATCCCTAAAAAATAATTTAAAAAAAATTTTTCCCTTGAAAAATAATTTTCCCTTGAAAAATAATTTTCCCCAAAAAAATAAAAAATTTTTATAAAATATATTTATAATAATATCTTAAAACATCCTACAAATGTCCTGAATCGTCCTGGATATATTTAGGATGATCCTGAGGATGTTTTGTGCTGTGCGGGACAATATATATACACACATATTTGAATTTTCCATATGTAAAATATAAATCAAGAATATATACAACTTATTAAAAAAAAGATTAAATATAGTAAATAAAAAGATTAAGACAGTACTGCGTAGAAGCCCTAATATATAACCTCGCTTTGCGTGGA